CCCAAGCAGGATGCTATGCCCAACAATCAAGTGTTCAGTTGTGCTATCACCCTCCTTGCTCTTACTGCGATCACTCGTTCTCCCCGGCGCAAAAGCACCAACATTATATCCCAACACGGCCGAGCACCAGGGCTCATTAAACGTGATCCAATTCTTGACCTTCGGCAGCGCCTCAAAGCATACTCTCGCATAGTGTTCAAAATCGCTCGCAAACTCGTTCTTATTCAAGAACCCCAGATAGCGCTCATGGAGCGCCTGCGGAAGATCCCAATGAAACAGCGTTACAAATGGGGTAATCCCATTAGCGAGAAGCTCGTCGACGTAGTCTTGATAGAACTTGATTCCGGCGGGGTTGACAGGGTCGTTGCGACCGCCGAGAGGGATCACACGCGACCAGGAGATCGAGAACCGGTAGGCTTTGGCGCCGTAGGATTTCAGCAGTGCGACGTCTTCTTGCGTGCGGTGGTAGGCGTCGCAGGCGACGTCCCCAGAGGAGCCGTCTGCGATTTTTCCGGGGATTTTGCAGAAGGTGTCCCAGATGGAGGGGCCACGACCGTCCTCGTTGGCGGCGCCCTCAATCTGGTAACTATGGGATGAAGGAAGACTATTAGCAAGGCCCGGAAACCCAGCACTGAGGAGAGAAATACCTGGCAGTAGCATAACCCCAGACAAAGTCCTTTGGGAGCGAGAGCTTCGAGTCGGCGGTCATTTCGGCGGTGTGTTTTGATGCGCCTGAAAGCTGGTGAGGTTTACCAGCTCCGTCAAGGGCTCTGGCGACTGTATAAGTACTTGATAACCATCTCATCCCGCCTTTCATTCATCAACTGGTGACATCGGAACCCCGGGCCTAACTCCCAGAGCGCAGGTCATCGCGTCGTTCCGCCTCATCTGACAGCTGCAGGGACGTTAAAGGCAGGGAGTTCCAGAGTTCGGAAGCTCGGAAAGAGTCCATGGGATCAATTAATGCGGGGTGCGGATGGTGTGGAGCTCGACATGGCGGGGGCGGGGATGCGGGAGAGCTGTGGAGAGCTGGGGGAGGATGCAAGTGAGAGCGCCCGGGGGTCGGCCCGGTTCCCCGTCTTGGCTGCGAGTGAGCAATGGCGAAACTACTCCACGTCATGATCCAAGATGAATTGCAACAAGTAAAATAATCATATATTGGTCCACATTTCTCTGTGTCTCCTCACATGGTATCCAGCCTCCCGTCACCAACACATCAACCTTCTCCAGCTACTCAGAAAACCCCCGTCTCCTCCCTCACCCTGGTCTCATCCGGAGTTGAATCCATCTTCCGTTTCTCGAACGCCTCTTTCCTCTCGAAGCTTCCATCCGGTCCCGGATCCTCCCCAAACGACGGCGACGAATCCACCCGGTCCAGCACTATCGTAGGCGCCCGACGCCGACCCTGTACTGGATGTTCCCCTCCTGTAGAGAGGTTGTCGGACGCCGCGGCAAGCTCTGCATTCTTTTTCCGAACCTCCGCGAGCAAGTCAGGATAGAATCGTTCGCCAACATCGGTATGAGACTAAAAATGCGTTAACAAGAGAAAATATCCGACAGCAGGAGCGCATGCCATACCTTTACGCGATTCCACAACGTAGCCTCCCCCAGTCTCCCAAACAAATCCTTCCTAAACGTCATCTCGACCTCCTTCTCCTCATTCCTCGCACTGCTCTTCAACACCTCCTTCTTCAACCTTCTCACATCCTCGGGTACATCCATCTGCTCAAACTCGGCATCATAACTAATCCCCTGAAAAAACGGAATCGAGAATCTCGGCCCCTCTCCAGCCTCAGGCGACAACACTCTATGCGTCGTCGACGTCACAACGCCTCCCGTGATCGCCTCCAGCCCCTGCCCCAGCGCCACCACCAGTGTCCCCGCGATTGGGGGGCACGGGATCCAATCCCCGCTTGAATTCTGCACCTGCAGCGAGTGGTGAGGCGACGCCTGGAGCAGATAGCTCGACAACATTGAATCCTTGTGCGGCCCGACGCCCTGATTACTCCCGCCGCCTAGCTCCCCGAGATCAGGGTACTTGACGATCTTCAGCTTATCTTGCCGCTTGGTGCCACTACGGCTCTCACCGATGCCGTGGTAGTACTTCTCGAATGCGTCTCTAGGAAGCCCGATCGCTTCGGCGACGAGGCTGGTGAACTCGCTGCTGAGTTCACCCATCAGCGTGATGTAGCGGTCGAAGGTTTCGCGGAAGCCGGGAATCAGCGTTTCGGAGGGCCATTGGTTGGGGCCGCGGAGGGAGCGGTAGCGCGGTTCTGATGGAGATGGTGCTGGGAGCTCGGTTGCAAGGTCGATTTGTTCGCGCCAGTCGGTGGCGTGCGAGGTGATTTCGTTACCGAGGCGGGAGTAGCCGAGGAAGTGGGGTGCTGGAGGAGAGAGCGAGTGTTAGTTGCGATGTCAAGCTTGTCGATGTCGTGGTGGGGTGGGAGGTGATGCTGTACTGAAGCTGTAGCTACAGCTGCTAGCTGCTCCGAGCTCTCGACAGCTTCAACTTCCGACATGAGATCATGAAATGACGCGATCAATGTTGAAAGTCACCATCCCATCTCCCGCCAACCTCACCTTCGTGTCCTCCCCATCAAAAAACACGAAGCACACAAAACACCCCCCCAAGGGCCCAGAACTTACAATTCCTCATCTCAAGCCTCAACTTCTCCTCCTCGGGCAGCTCAAAAAACAGTTTCCCCAGGCGTATCACCTCTTCCGTAAGCTTCTCATCGATACCGTAGTTCTTGATATATAGAAACCCGACTTCCAGCAGCGCACGTTTGAGGTCTTCCAGGAACTGGGGTTTTGTTTTCGGGGATCGCGATAATGAGAGATCCAGGATGGGGACTTCGGTGAACGAGGCCATGGTGGTCGGTTGAATGCAGGTATGATGATTAGGAAGAAAATAAGGAGAAGGCGGGGAAGGTTGGGTTGGAGGAAGAGGTCAAGCGCTCGGAGAGATGGAGGGCGGGGGGAGGTTTTGTAATATATATGACCGTGGTGGTGGTAGTGGGGTAGGTTATGCAGGGCGGGAGTGCGGGGTGGAATGACGTGACGACGCACGAGATGTCACTCTGATATGAAGTAGGACACTGGGTCAGAGGTGACAATGTCAGCCTGCCGAGATGGCTAGTTCCGGGTATGACACGGGGTGTACGGGTACAGTACCATGTGCAATACTGACGAGCTTCCGGGGCAGCTCACATGCGCATATGACCGACCATACTCAACGTTGACAGAAATCACTGAATCATAACCCATCATCACGACATTTCGCTGAATCCAGAACACCACGTCGATATCTAGGTATTTTCTCTATCTTTCCGCCTTACCGTCCCCCACATCTAAAACATCACCGTCGGCTGCTTCAATAAATTCCCGCCATCCAGCCTCACCACCTGCCCATTCACAAACACACCTCCAGGTCCCGCCAAATACAGCACCGCCGCCGCCACATCCTCCTCCCTCCCGGGCCGTCCCGCGGGATAACTTTTCCCCCTCTCCCCCATCTCCTCTCTCGCAGTCTTCTGATCCGCACCACTCTTCCCCGCCGTCATCTCCGACGGAAACACCGCGGGCGCAATTGCATTCACGCGCACCTTCGCATCCAGCTCCATAAACGTCGTCGCCAGCATCTGCGTGAGATGGTTGAAGGCGCTCTTCGAGGTGGAGTATGCGAATTGGCCGCCAGAGGAGCCTTTCATAATGCCGGAGGTCGAGGTGGTGTTGATGATGGATGCGCAATAACCCGACGTGGACTTCGTTCCAGCCGAGAGAAGTGGGAGGAAAGCAATGGAGACGAAGTACTGGATACGTCGATCAGAATCTGCACCAGGGAGGGGAAAGAAGGGTAGAGTATCGTATATATACCTGGGCGGTCACGTTCGTCCTATAGGTCTGCTCCCACGCCTCCGGATCAGCTTTCCACAGAAACTCCGCCAGCTTCTCTGCATCCGTGAAATCCACGTTTTTCCCGGAAAACGATGTTGTATCCTTTTCACACGCGACCCCGGCGTTATTAATCAGCAAATGGATCCCGCTCTCTCCCTCCCTCTTTTTCACCTGCTCGGCCACCTTCAGCACCGCATCTTTATCTGTGACATCCAGCTGCAACCTACACTCCATTAGCTCGTTCGGCTCTTTTATTGGGGTTGTGTTTTTTTGGGGATATAGTAGAAACGCACGGGATTATCTTCCCCACCCCCTCCTTCGGCGAATACAGTTCCGCAACCTTCTCCAGCTTCTCCTTCCTCCGTCCGGTGATATACACCGTCGCCCCATTCTGCGCCAACGCCTGGGTCGCCATCAATCCGATCCCCGACCCACCGCCTGTAACCACCGCCTTGAAACCATGTTTAAACCCTCCCGCGAGACCGAAAAGCGCGTTCGCGGTGAGGTGCGGGGAGGGGTTGGTGGTGGTGGACATTGTCCTTGTGCTCGGGATTTGTGTTGGTGTTGTGGGGTCGGGGACTGGGTTGGTGGTTGTGGTGAAGATTGATGATGATGCTTTCAAGCTGGTAGTGGTGAGATTGCGATTCGTGATGATACGGTGGTGAGTGAAGACACCGAGACGAAAACAGAGCGCGGACGTTCTTGTGCTGCTGTTGATGTTGATCCGAGAGAACATTTCCGCGATTCGTGATGGAAGAGGGAGGAGTTATATCCCTTCTCTCCCCCCTCTCCGCCAGCAGGTACAAGTATCGATGACGCTGGGTGACAGTTGCGCCCAAGTAGTGTAGGGGTTTGTGGTGTGGTGAGCAGTGAGCAGCGATGATGCATCTGTGATCTCATCATCCTGGTGTTGATCCATCCGGAATCCAGACCCGCTCCCAACTCCACTCCTGCTCCCCATATAGGTACCACAACCTACCTACTATGTATTCTCCGCCGCCTTGAGCTTGTGTCACGTCACTGATTGAAGACTGGATTCATGCTGTGAGAATCTGGAAAATTAAGATTGGTATAATAAAAAGAGAGATAAAAGGCATCAAAATGGTATCGTGGCGCAATGGTAGCGCGTTGGCTTCCGGAGCTGGTACTTGCCAAAGGCTGCAGGTTCGAGTCCTGCCGATATCGATATTTCTTTTCCTTTTTTCTTTGGCTCCTCGTGAAGGAAGGTTTGGAGGGAGGGATGGAAGATGAATGATGACTGATGCGTACTTTTGATTTTGATTTTCTATAATTGAGAGGAGAGACGGATGGTGAAGGGTGAAGATATCCGCGTCTTCGATGGGGATTTGCAGTAGTTATCACCAGTACTCCGGCTTCAAGTTAGACGTAATCCACGAGACAACACATTTTCCCAAAATAAAACCATACTCTAAAAGAAAAACAAAGTTTTTACTATAATAAGGATATCTCAATCATATATCTCATCATACCGTTCCTCTTCTTCATCGCCAGACCCATCTTCTGAACCCGATTCTCTTTCACTGCCTTCTTCTTCACTGCCTTCTTCTTCTTCACTGCCTTCTTCTTCACTCCCTCCTTTACTTCCGTCTTCTTCGCTGGCTTCTTCGCTCTCTTCTTCACCGTCGCCTTCACTGCATTCTTCGCTTTCCTCCTCACTAGCATCTTCAATAACCTCCTCGATAACATCGTCAAAAAACTCTTCGACAACGTCTTCAATAGCGTCCTCATCAACGTCCTCACCAGCGTCCTCATCATCCTCCATCGCCTCCGCAACAACGGCCCCAGCAATACCCCCAACAACAACGCCCCCAACAACACCCGCAACAACGGCCTCACCACCCCATCCCCCACCATCATCACCTCCCACAGAACTATCCTGTTCATCTCAAGCCACGTCAGCGCATCTTCTCCCACAGCCTCACTCGATCTCAAGAGACTGGTTGGAACTTACGGTATCTACGGCTGTCCTCATCGTACCCCCCGTGATGCCTCCTCTCTCCATCATAGCCTCCATCGTATCCTCCCTCATATTCTCCGCGATGTCCCCTCTCCTGGTACTCCTCACGGGGATAATCACGACCGTAAGCCGACGACTGCTCATAGTCATAAGAAGGACGGTCATCATCGCGGCGAGAGTAGTCTTCACCACCACGGTTGTAGTCATCGCGGCGAGAGTAGTCTTCACCACCACGATTGTAGTCATCGCGGCGAGAATAGTCATGATGGCGGCGCTCTTCGTAGGAGTCTTCACGACGGGAGTAAGATGGTTCTTCGTCGTAGCGGCGAGAAGATGAGTATTCCTCCTGCTGCTGGCTACGTTCGGCTTCGTAGGCCTCTTCCTCCTGTTTTCTTGATCCGCGGGCGGCGAATGCCTCGCCTAGAGCAGCGCCGGCGAGGGATCCCAGGAAGCCACCGAGCCCGGAGCCTCCTCCGCCAGAGGATTTGGGGCCGGCGAAGGCTTGCTCGATTGCTTGGCCTGCGGCCTTTCCAAGGTCGCCGCCGACGTCGGCGAATTCACCGCCGTCTTTCTTGGGTTTCGCGATGTGGAGAGGTTTGCCGCAGCCGTGGCCGCAGTCGGATTGGCCTTCTTTGTGGTTCTTGCCCTCACGGACACCTTCGCGGGAGAGAGCTTCACGGAGGTAATCCTGATGGTCGCCTTGCTCATTCCACCAGTTTTCAACGACGGCGAACATGGCTTCGCGACATTCGACTCCAGGACGGCCGTCTGAGCCATCGCGGAATGCGGGGTGATGGAAAACGCCGCCAATGATTTCGTCGCAGACGCGATTGACATCAACGGAGTCGTCGTCCCAGGCTTCCATGATTTTCGGGACTGTGAATTTCAAGACAGCGGAGGCAATCTTTCCAGCCGGCTCGTTCAAGACGTTGGTGAAGTGGTCCTTGCTGAGCATGGAGTGGGTAGGATCGGAGCAGCTGTCATCATGGAACACGATGTGTTGTGCTGAGCGCGACGACTCAATGACCTCGGTGGAGCCGGTTTGAAGTTCGGTTTTCACTTGCTGGAGAAGAGGGAGCAGGTATGGGGCGATGAGGGAGAAGACGAAAAGGGACGCAGCTTCACCGAGCTTTTCGGCGACAGCAGCGAGCCCAACTTTTTCCATGGCGTTACTGACGGCGCGCATAATTTGGTCGTGGAATTCGAGGTATGGGTAGAGTTCCTGCGCATACCCATCTGCATCAGGACCAAGACCCCATTGTTGCTGCTCCTGCTCATTGGATTCTTTCTTCTCTTGGGATTTGGCTTCAAGCTCATCGGCTTTCTGCTCCAACTCTTTTTCCCCGCCAATGTTGAGCTGCGACATAAGTTCCTTCAGGAATGATTTGTTGTCTCCCTCCTTGTGAGAGGTTTCATCAATCGTCTGCTCGAGCTGCTCGAGCTCGGATTGCATAGCCTTATCAGAGACTTCACCGAGTACCGAGTGGAGGAAGTCGACGCCTCCAAAGGTTCCGGTGACGAGAGGGTAAACATCACGTCCCTGGACGTTGATGATGGTATCGCGGCCGACATGGGGGAAAACATCCCGCTCTCCCATCTCAAGGAGGGCGAGTTCAGTGTAATTGGAATGGGCCGAGTAATCTGCCCCGATCAGTATGCGCCCCAACATTTCCAAACTTTGACATACCCTCAAGACAGTGAAGACCAGTTCCGAGCAGGCGAAGTGCCTCGTAAAGATCGTTCTTATTACCGTCGCGACCATACCGGCGAGCAAGCTCAGTCGACTCGGTGAAAAGGCGACGAACGAGACCAGCAGAGGTATCCATTCGTTCACCGTTCCTGAGACGCCGGATCGACTCGTTCGCAATGTAGTTCTTCAGACCCGTGTTCTCGTCAATTCCAAGCTCAGTCTCCTCGTCGATAGGCCCACGAAGGCGGCTATCCATGGAGCGGGCCTGTAACCATCAGCGTGCATCTTAGGCAGCTCTTCCACACCACCTACATCCTTGTTCTCATTGTAATCCTTGGGGTTATCGATGTGCTCTTCCGGACGGTAGCATCCCAGGCGTTCGCGAGTAACCTCAAACTCTCCAGTCGCTATGTACACTCAGTCAGTGCGTGCCCCGCCATCAATTTCTCGCTTCTCCGCACTGACCAAAGCCAAACGTCATAAAGCTCAGGATCCACAACAAGATCCTGATAGTCCCAGCCTCGACAAACTTGAGGGCGCCAGTATCAATCGCCTGAGAGTAATCACGAAGCCAATTTCCAAAATCTACACCTCGCCATCAGCGTGAATCCTCTCTCGTTCCAACAGCACTACTCACAAATCCTCTTAATCGTCTTGGAATCAAACTTCTTCCGGTCTCCGCGCTTCACAACCGCTGCCATGTAAAGCCCCAACAAGGTATCCTCGATGTCGCCATGCCGCCAGTTCGTGCCCTCGATCTTAGAGATGGACGCGATGTTGCCGGCGCCGAAGGCGGCTGCCGGCGATGCGTAGAGCACCAGGACGGCGAGCACCATCAGCGGGAGGTAGGTGCGCATAGTCAACGCCATGCTGGGTGATTGTAGCTATTCACGTGCTTTTTGAGGTTTGATATCGAATGCGATGTGGAAACGGGCGTGTCAAGCGGTGTGATGGAGATGGAAACGATGGAAGAAGAGGATGGAGAAAGGGAAGAGAGGAATGAGATGACAGCTGGGGGGAAGTCTGATGACGACGACCAGGAAAGCGGGGCACCCTAACAATGCGAGCGAAGGGCCGGATGTTTGGGAATCGGCCTGATGCAGATGAGGGGTAACTAACGGGGGGCGAGCAATGCAAATGGAGGGGCAACACCACCAACCAGTGATCAACACAACATTGAAAAAGGCTTTGCGTCACCTGTGGAAGACGGAGGGTCACAGGAGAGCTGAAACGGTGTCTGGACTGTGAGAAAGGAGCTGGGGAGGCGGTTTCTTCACCACCACGATGGTGATGGTGTTGCTGGAACCCCGCAGCGCGAACAAGTGCGTCCATCCACCACCAGTAGCTCAGGGTCCAACCGAAGTCGAGATTCGCGGCCTGTGGCAACCGGCATACCGCTTGTAAAATCGGCAGAAATCCCGAAACGTGACACAACGGCCGTCGGACAGAGGAGGAAGTTGAGTACTAAAGGAAAACGGGAAAGTTCTTATAATTGGTCATCCCGACAGGAAGCTTCACCGTTTTCTATGATTCTGTTCAAGAGAATGCTAGGAAGCTGATCAGCTCCCCGGGCCGGGCGAAGGATTCTGCCCCGTCGACTCCGGGGTAACCTCACAGAACGCGTACAATTTTTCTGCCAAAATATCAGCAGATAAACAATCCAAAATCTAAATACATTCTGAATGCTCTCAAGAAATCCCGTACTTCCCCTCAATCTCCTCTCCGCCCCAGTGTTGGGTTGCATCAGCGCCACAGCCCTCCGCCTGAACCTGTCGGACATGATCCTGAGTTTCGCCGTCTCATACGATAATCCTCTGAGCCAAAGCCAGAGCGATATCATCATTACTGTTCTGAAGACGTCTCTCCTGGAGTGTCTTCTCGTCTGTGTTACCCTCGAAATGGGGTTTCGGCCCTTTTTCCATGCCGTCCATAGAAGTTCATCGAGAAGCTCGTCCACTGCGTTCCCGTCGATTCTAGATGACTCGGGCATAACACTTTCCAGATCCTCCTCGAGCTTGTGGTTCGGTTCCTTATCGTCGATGCTGGGCGATGCAAAACCTCTCCGGTTGTCCACGAATGAACGGAAGAACTTGTCGTCGTCCACTACCGGATGATTAACAATGAAGAGAGATGATCAGTATGCGCTCACAGGAGCCGAAGTGCTCTATTGAAAGCTCGACCACCCCTCATTCAGTGATAAAAGGGTTTCCACATCGTGTGGAGAGGGTTTAGAATCTCTAGATTGCAAGGCGTTGCGCAGCCTCTTTAGCTTTTGATTTCTTCGCTTGAGTTCCGTGAGTGAAGTGGTCTTAGCGTCGTTTTTGAGGTGGGAAACATGTTCGGTGTTGTCCTTGACCGTATCTTCGCTGATATATCGGGGTTTCTTCCTTTCCGGCGATAGGTTTGGTTTGTTGAGGGTGTATAAAACTGTTATCGATGACTAAAGACATGCTGAACCACGGCTATCTGGTGGTGCTGTTTGTAGCTCTGACTAGCGGAGGAGAGGAGGAAAGCCGA